GAACATTTTTGAAATCTGAGTAACAGACAACAGATAATCAGAGTTGGAAGGGACCTTGTAGGTCATCTAGTCCAACCCCCCCACCCAAGCGGGAGACCCGACACCATTTCTGACAGATGGCAATCCAATCTTTTCTTGAAAGTCTCAAGTGAGGGTGCTCCCACAACTTCTGAGGGCAAGCTGTTCCATGGGTTGATTGTTCTCACTGTCAGAAAGTTTCTCCTTATTTCCAGGTTGAATCTCTCCTTATTCAATTTCCATCCATTATTCCTTGTCTGGCCTACAGATGTTTTAAAAAATAGCCTGACTCCCTTCCTCTCTGTGGCAGCCCTTCAAATATTGGAACACTGCTATCATTTCCCCCGGTCCTTCTCTTCACTAGGCTGGCTATGCCCAGTTCCTGTAACCGTTCTTCATATGTTTTAGTCTCCAGTCCCCTAATCATCCTGGTTGCTCTTCTCTGTACTTTTTCTTATGTCTCAACATCTTTTTTACAATGTGGTGACCAAAACTGGATGCAGTACTGTAGGTGTGGTCTTACTAAGGCTTTATAGAGTGGTATTAGTACCTCACTTGATTGTATCCCTCTGTTGATGCAATTTAGGATTGCATTAGCTTTTCTGGCGGTTGCTGCACATTGCTGGCTCATATTTAGCTGGTTGTCCACTAGGACTCCAAGATCTCTCTCACAGTTGCTGCTATTGAGTCTGGTTTCACCTAGTCTATATGTGTACTTTTGGTTTTTCTTGCCTGATGAGCAAAGAAACAAAAGATTCATTTGGATTGTGATAGTTGTCATGCTCTAAGAAAAAAATACTCCTTATTGGAGTAATCCAGGTTGAAGTCCACCCTGCCTGAAAGGTTTGTTGTGAGGAAAAATGAGAGAACAAACATTGTGACTTTAGCTCCTGAATAAAAGCCTGTATATAATCAAGCAAAGAACAATAAATAATAATATGTAGGCCCTAGCATTACTGTTATGTAATTATTTGTAGAAATCCACAACAAGCTATGGAACTGCATACCTTGGCTTAAACATACCTTGTATTCTGAGATGGTATGGTTACATGAAAAACACTCACAGAACTTTAATATGTAAGTCAACAATATCCATCCAAGTCTGATTGACTGCTTTTCCATGAAATGAACATGAAACCTCAATGCTAATTTTCCTCCAAATGTCTCCTTAATCAAAGGAGATGACCCTTTTTTTAAATTTTAAAAGAAAAACTTTATTCGCGATTAAAAAAGAAAAACACTATGTACAGTACATCAAATACAACTTAACGTTGTAGACAAAATCTACATATACAAATACAAAATAAACATATAAAACATACGTTTCTAATCAACTAAGATGATGTGCTTTTTTCTTGGTAATGATTTTACTACTATTCATTTCTTATCTGGTAAACATTCTTAATTTAACTACTCCATTCATCAAATACATATCTTTTAAATTCCTGTTTTTTTCTCTTTAATCCACTTATACCATTTATCCCAAGCTGTAATATATCTTGAGTCTTTCTTATTCCTAAGTTTTTGTGTGAGTAGGTCCATTTCAGCGCAGTCAAGTATTTTCTGAGTAATCAAATTATTTGTTGGCATTAGTTCGCCCTTTCAACATTGTGACCCTTTTAGTGGTGGCTTCTTACTCACTAAGGGATAGCAACCAGCTGATCTAAGCTGATATCTAAAAGCTAAGTAAAATCAGAACTTCTTAGAACTTGAATGGGAAACTACTATAGAATGCTAGGATTATAGCCAACATTAGTAAATAAAAATATTCCGAGAAAAAAATGGCAAAATCAACTCCATATTGCTGCCAAGAAAACTATATTAATGTATTTGTGAAGTCAGCAAGAACTAAACTCCATTCAAAGTATACTTTTTTAAACCTCAGTTAAGACGGCAGCCACCTGGCCCCTTCATTAATGTTGTTTGGTACAAAAGACATTTATGTTCTCCAGACCTTTTAACATCACTTCTATATTAATATTTTATCAATACTGATTTGATGGTATTTACATTGTGACATAGCAGTCCATTTTGTGATCGGTCTATTTTCATTACATAAAATGATACACTTCTTTTTTTAGCCCTGGGGGTCACTTATAACTCTTCCAAACAATGGGGCACACTCCAAACTAGAAGTGGAGAGAAAATAAGACAATATTTGTACTGCAACAAAGCAAGGTGTTGACTGTTGTGCTGTGATATGTCCAGTCCTTAGAAAGCAAAGAACCCTCTCCTATCAACTATACTAGAAGGCAGGTTTCAGAAAAATCCTTCTGCAAAAAGGGTAAGTGCCTGTCAGACTGTGAACATCAAATTATTGACTCATATATTACTCTGTTGTATCTTCTACAGAGATAAGGAGAGTGAGCTCTTAATATTCCCTATCAGACCACTCTCGAGACTTCCAAATGATTTTTATCAGGTTCTCCTTCTGGCAGGCAGAGATCCTAAGATGACACACACTGCGGTTAATTTTGCATTTGCAACCTGAAGAATTCATTCTTGTCTAATGGCAAATTCATTTTAGATCGGGCTTGGATTATACTTTATCAAGCAGAGTATTGCATAGACTATATTGATTGCTTTTACCTTCTTTTACTATTATCTTAGTTGGCCCTTCCATTCACTGACTAAAATTGTCCTATATTTGATATTATTATTTTTATTCTGATAAATTTGGTTAGTCTGTGACATACAATGTAATATTCACAAAGACACTATTCTTTGTAAGGCATAGTTAAATTTAATGTATTTCAGTATCACATCTAGATTGGAATTTAATCTTGGACCTGAACGATGTAGAAAAGCATTGCCCAAATTTCAAACTATCCAAGGAAAAACCAATAATTCTAAAATCAGGACTTTCCAGTGTACGTGAATGTTCTGGTTTGTGTGGTGATTTTGCCAAGTGATTTAACAGCCTTTGTGCTTCTTGCCTTTATTGAATTTTTCTATATAAACGGACACCACACTAATTCCTAACTAAGTCCCAGTTTATTATTAACAACCAAGTGAATTGTTTATATTACTACGCTGTTCATGCCACCTCCAGTTCAGTGGCAATGAAGAAACAAGTAGAATTTATGGTTGCTTAAATAAGTTTAGTGACAATACCACTAAGTTGGTTGCATTGATTTTCCATGGCACTGCCTGTTTCTTTTAGTGTTTTCTGAACACAAGTGTCAAACCTTTATTTTCTTGAGAATCCACTATCTTGGCCTCAAGCAGCAAAATTCTCTGGACCAGCCCTGGGGGTTGGAGAGTTAGCAAACTTCCTCATATTATTTCCAAAATTAGTTGTTTCATTACAATCTTCTTTACATATCTTGGCACTTTGGATGCTGAGATTCTTGAGGGCCAACCAATTTGATTCAAGCATATAGAAAAAAAAATATGTCTTTATCACCTTGAAAAAGAAAAGAAACTCCCAGAAAAGAAAATGCCAGACTGGATCACTAAATCCTTGTGTATCAGTTTGTATATCTAGCTGCTGGAAATCCTTAGAGAGGCAATATGTTATTGGATATTAAGTGCCTTTCCTTCCTATACCTTAACATGGTACAAATACGTCCTATGAACATCTTCTGTCTGTCACATCTT